CCTGCTGAAAAACTTCCCTTGCTTTAAGAAATCAGCGTGTAGGAAATAAGCTGCGAGCTGGGCGTTCTTCCTGGGTGTCTCATCATTCAGGCTGAAGCAAAAGGGATCGGATAAACCCGGAGGGGCTAAGGAGCCTTTCGGGCTCTGTGTACAGAGAGACTGAACGGGGCCGTGACTTCTCCTGGTGTTGACTCCTGAATTTTCTTCCAGAAATTCCGGCAGCAGCAAGAAGAATCGCAGGCGAGGCAGCAAGGCGCAGGCACAACACCAGGAGCTGGCGCAGGAGCACGGGGCGACGGAGAAAAGGCGGCCGCGCGATTCGGCAGCGAGGAACTGTTGGGTTTCGTCGCCCGCTAACGAGCGGTGCGATGGACTGTGCTTTCCCCCCCAGAACCCCCACCTCTGCCCGCCCCAGCAAACGCAAGCGGCCAGGAAACGCAGGCGCCGGCGTAAGAAACCTGTTGTGACGGCGTAGGGAACGCTGGACGTGGCAAAGCCCATCCAGGGCTGCAGCTTCACCCCGAGGAGCTCTGCGATGGGTCTCTCGCCGCTTGAACGAGCGGCTGTGCTGTAACCTCCACCAGCAGTCAGGAACTGCAAATGCAGGTGTTCTTAACCTTAACACAGCTCCGTTTTTTTATTTTTTTAATTTTTTCTTCCCTTGCCTTGTACTTTTACAAATCTCACAGAAAATTTTTTAATACTATGTTGTACCGGAGTCGTAGCTCCGCTCCTTGAGGGATGCGGAGAATAAATGTGGACCCAAACGGAGCTGGAATTACCCGAAAGAAATGTCCTCAGGAGCATCCCTTTAACCTTCAGCAAAAAAGGGCTTTTCCTTGATTTCCTCAATACAAGAAATAGGATTCGGCCTGAAACGAGATGATTTTTTATTTTTTTCCCTTTTCACCCACTTCGCTAAAGTAAATTTCCATGGTGCGTAACCCTCGAGCCCTGGTTCTGGAGCGGTTCTTTCCCCCCAGGATGGGCCTGATGAGCCCCGCGGGATCCGCGCTTCGGCGCTCACCCGAGCGGAGGGTTGTTGGGCGGTGGACTCTGGCCTCGCGACCGGACCGTTTTGGGGTGAGAACGGGTGTTTTCGGGGTGACCCGGTGCTGTGCAGCCGAGGAGGGAGCTGCCCCTTTAAGGCGCAAGGCCGCTCTCTGACGTCATGACGCCCGGCTTTCCGCTGAGGGAAAGGAAGCGGCAGCTTGGCCGGGCGGAAGTGGGAGGTGGCTGCGGCGTGCCCGGATGTTGCGGCGGCGCCTGATTGGCTGCTGAAAGTGAGGGGGGGGCGGTGCTGTCGGCGTTTCGGCAACAACCCGGAAGCGCTGAGGGGTGGCGGCGCCCGGGGCGAGGGGGGCTTTCGTATCGGGGTTCCCTTGGTGGGGCTGCGGTCAGGGGGGCTCTGGCGGCGGGTATCTTTCCTCTTAGGAAGGGGGATCCGGTTTGGGACTACCCTTGCTCTGTTGCCTGGGGCTGCGAGCCCGTGGGGTCTTTGGTTGGGGGATCCTCTGCTTTTTTTTAGAGGGGAAGGGCGGGGGGGGGCGGTTCTGGGAAGGACGGGCCGTCCCGGGGGGCTCCTCTGCTCTCCCTTGCAGGGGGAGGGCTGTGGGAGTTGTGGAGGACTCTGATTTGTGTGTGTGTATGTGGGGGTCTTCCTCTCTCTTGGTGGGTAATGGAGGGGGGGGGGGCTGTTATGTTGAGGAGGGGTGGTTTGGGCACTTTATTTTGAGGGGTGCAGTGGGAATTAGAGGGGGAGCTCTGGGTTGGGGGCACTGTGAGTTATGGTGTGTGAATGGCGTCCCTTCTCTCTTGGGGGAGAAGGACTGTGGAATTTGGCAGGGAGGCTTTGGTTTGGGGAGGTGACCGAGAGCTCTGGCTTGGGGGAGCAACAGAACCCAGCCCCCAGGAGAAGCACCAGTGAGGTGAAGCTGAAGCCCACGCAGAGCTGGGGCTCTGTCGCACCCCGTAAGCAAGAGCTTTGGCCTGGCAGCCTCTAGCAGGACTGAATCCCACAGCCCTTATTCAGGGCAAGAGGCCTTTGTAGGCCCCTCCAGGACACGGGCTGAGAAATGTGGGCCTGTGCCTTAAAAAGGGGGTTCTGCTCTGAGGTAACCCCAAAAAAGCAACTCCTCCACCGCTCGACATCCTCGGGCGGTGCTCAGCTCAGCTCAGGACCTTTCCCCCATTTAGGAAGGAGCCACGGTAAATCGTGATGTCATGCATGTGGCAATCATGTTTTTGGAAGGCTTGCAAGGTGCTTCAGATTGTGCTGTGATTTCATAGGGAGTTTAACCCTTATGGTGGTCCAGGGTGGCTTTTCCAGGGGAAAATTGCTTTTGGTGTAGGGGGAGAGCATTGCGGAGGGTTTTTGGGCTTGCTGCCCCTCAGTCTCAGTGCTTCCTCAGCTTCAAATTTATCGTTTTGTGCTGTGGGGCTATGGATGAGAAGGGATTTGTCAGAGCCAAGCGGGAGGCAGACGCATGGATTGGGTCGAGGTGCATTCCTGGGGTGATGGGTGTGTCTCCCGCAGCACAGGGGAGAAGAGGGATTGGGACTGTGCCCGGGTAAGAGCAGTTTGGGATTGACCTTGTTGGGTAGGGAAGGATCTGCTGAGCAGCAGTGGCTGGAAGGATGGCCTTCAGCTCCCTCCTCTTCGCCCTGCTGTGTAAGCAAAACAGTTTCCGTGCTGCAGCATTGAAACCCTGTGTAAAGCCACTTCTGCTCAAGTTTGAGTGAAATTCTTTGGCCTTCTCGCCCCAAACTGGCAACCAGCACTAGTTTTGTTGTGTGGAGAGACAACTGGGAAGGAAGCGCTACTTTGGGTGAGGTTTGGATGGGTCAAACCCTATCCTGAAATCGGTTTCTGAGGAGTGATCATGAATTTGTGACTGCTTTTCAGGTTGTAAAGGTAAATATCCAAGCACTGTGCCCAAAAAGGGTTGGGCTTCTCCTAAATTCCTCCCTCAGGACCCAATTTGGCCCATGTATGAAATGCTTTTCTGTTGAGGGGGGATGATTTCTTTTGAGGAAAGACAGTCCTGAGGAAACTGGATGAGTTACCTGGGTTACGCTGCTTTTGACATGCTTGACTTTCTTCCCACCACAGAGTTCGTCAGCCTCGTGGCAGCTTTGATGTGTGTTATTATGCCTGACCACACCGACACCAGCCTCCCACCGGAGGAGCGAGTCCGAAGGCTGATCCAGGTGGGAAGCAACGTGGAAGTGAACGAGGATGTCCCGCCACGACGCTACTACCGCTCCGGAGTGGAAATCCTCCGCATGGCGACCGTTTACTCAGAGGAAGGCAATATCGAGAACGCCTTTATTTTGTACAACAAATATATCACGTAAGGGCAGCATTGCTTCGTTTGCAAGTAACCTGTGTCGATATAAGGGGTTGTGGGTTTGGTGTTGCGTATTTTGAACATGTCTAAACACTGTGAGGCCTTGCTGAGCTGGAAGAACTGGGTTCTGCCCAGAGCTCCACTTGTTTTGAATTTCAGTTACCGTAGAGGTGAGGATACAGCTGCTTAGACTGACCAGGAGATGTCGTAAAGGTGTGAGGCGAAAGTTCATAAATGCTGCTTACCTCTTTGCAGGAGGTCTGTAAAAGTTTGGAAACCAGGCTGATCACATATTCCTCTGTCCCTCTGCTAGCGGAGCCTCCTGTCAGCAGGAGGGAGGTTTTGGCTACCTGTATGTCAAAGCTTCCTGGTGTTTTATCACTGCAGAGTGGTTAGATTGGCCTTGATTGTTGCTAGGTTGGCCGTGACATCATACAGATTGGCAAGGATCCGTGGTTAAGGAGCTCAGTATCAAGTATCTACCTAGAAAGTATCTAGGCTGGTTGGTGGTTTCTCTAATAAACCGGCTTTGGAGGAGAAGCCTGCTTTACGCTTAGGTTACTACACCCCTTTACAGCAGGCAGCGAGTTCCTCCTTCAGGTGCAGGGACTGGTTGTAGGTTTAATTTTACATCTCAGAAGAAATATACACACGCACCCCCACCCCAAACACGCATGTGTACATCCAAGCACTTCTCAGGAGGGACGTGGGGAAGAGTTCTGGGTCCAAAGAACCTGATTCCAATCAACTGGTGAGTTTCTTAAGTGCTGAGCACCCTTCTAGAAAGCCCCAGATCATATCTAAACCCAGCTAACGCCCTGTTTGGTGTTTCGGCAGCTGTAGGGTCTACATTCTGTGTAGACAAGTGCAGAGCCGCATATTCTTGCTATCATCTCTGCAGCTAGCCAGAAACGAGCCATCTTGGGTCTGAAACCCCACTGCCAAACCAGAGTGTATGCCGTGCTGACACGGTGACGTGGTGTCAGGTTTGGATTGTGTCTGAGCAGCCTAGAGTACAAGCAGAGCAAACGCGTGCCTCTCTGTAGCTGTGTCTGTTGGTGTTTAAAGGGCTGAAATCTGTGATCCTCAGAAAATAGCCCAATGGCATGGAGTGTCCTGTTCCTGTAGGTTTTTTGGCCAAAGCCTGTATCTCCTGCTTTTGCCCAGTACTGCTCTGATATGGTCTCTGCTGAGCCCATACTACCCCCTTATCCAGAATGTGGTTGGCAGCTTCATGGGCATTTTGTCTCTCTGCCCCCGTGTGCAGGTTTCCTGCCCCTTAAATCCAACACATTTTTCTCTGATTAGCTTTTCTTCCCGCCTTGCACTTCCTGAGCTTTTATGGGCATCGCAGCGAGTGCCCTGGGAGGCTGCACGGAGAGCTGGGAAGTGTAAAACCCTTGGGAAGGTTTCCAGGCTGGTTACGTAGCCATGGCTGAAGGAGAAACTCTTAAACTAAACAAATGAACTTAAAAGCACCTTCGCTGTTCATTACAGCAATGATGGGTGCTGGTGTGTCTTCTTCTGCAGATGCTTTCAAATGGTTGTGGCGTTTACATTAGCCTCGCTGCTGGGAAGGTGAAAAAACCTTCCCTTGGTGATGTGATTTCTCCAGTGCTGATGAATATGAGCTTCTGCCCTGGATTGTCCGAAGATATGAGCTTAATGTCACTGTCTCATTTCTTTACATGAAGCTGTGAAGCTGTAGCTCAAGCTCAATGAAGTGTTTTCTAGATGGCTTTCCCCAAGGGTGTGATCCAGAAGGCAAGAGCGGGGGGCTGGTAATTGGAGCCTCTCATGGGACTTGCTCTGCTCTCCACTTTCTAGAAATGGGACCCATACAAATATCTTAAGGGTGGATGTCACAAGGACGGAGCCAGACTCTTCTCAGTGGTGCCCAGCACCAGGACAAGGGGCAATGGGCACAAACTGAAGCAGAAGAGGTGCCAGTTGAACGGGAGGAAGAAATTCTTGACTTTGAGGGTACCTGAGCACTGGCCCAGGCTGCCCAGGGGGGCTGTGGAGTCTCCTTTTCTGGAGATATTCAAAGCCCGCCTGGACGATGTCCTGTGTAACATGCTCTAGGTGAACCAGCTTTAGCAGGGGGGTTGGACTAGATCATCTTCCAAGGTCCCTGCCAACCCTTGCCATTCTGTGACCTGGATTTTTTCCCCCAGTGCTTCATCCCACATCTGCAGTCAGTGCTGTGGCTGTCCTTTCGCAGAGCCCAGCTCCCTGACAGAGTGTATGGCCTAGTGCAGGCGCTTTCCGCATCAGGCTACGCCTTCGGGAAGGGGAGGACTGAGAAGTATGTGAGAGGGTCTTAGCTCAGTGTGTTCGGTGGGAGCAACTGCATCGTCCTTGGGAGCCAAGGTGTGCTTTAGGAAGCTGGACTTCTCTTTATTTCCCTGTACAGCACTCCCCAAGGCTGATCTTAAGGCCTGAATTACACAATGAGATCTGTGTTGTGGCGTCTGATTTGGAGAGCTGTTGGTTTTGAGACAACCTTGTCTAGGCACGGGGGAATCTCAAGACAGATCCGCAGTGAGATTCCCATTGAGGCAGCCGGTTCCCTGCTTGGCCTCTGGTCACCTGCTCTATCTTGTGCAGGTCCTTTGGCTGCACAGCACCTCTGTTTCCCATGTGGAAATGAAGCTCATTGCCAAGCCCTCCTCATGGTGGGCAGGAGGGCAGCTCGGGTATCTCTAATAACCAGGCTGGAGTTGTAACACACGTGTCTTGTCACCTTGTAAGACATCTGCTTGCTTGTCTTCTTGAACAGCTGCTTCTGCATTGATCTGAGTGGATGTTTTCCTTGAATCACCATAGGCACACTAGGTTTGATTTTGCTAGTGCCAAATAAGAAAGGAAAAAAAAAGAAAAAGATGAATTTTCTGTGGTGTTTGGGCTCCTGGTTTGCCTGCATGGCTGTGAGCTGCTAGGATTGGCTCTGGGGGTGTTGCGAAGGACTCGAGAGACGCCGGCTTGGCGTGCGTGCTGTAGCAGTGCTTAAAAATAGCCTGTGATGTGGCTGCTCAGTGCCAAACAGCTGCTGCTCATAGTGAACTCGGGAGCAGGCAAGAGGTTTGAACAAGCCCAAAACTCCTGGTGATGGGAGCCGCAGGTTTCAGTCTTGCCAAGCCTCAACTGGGTTGTTGATAGCAAATGTCAACTGTTCCTGCCCTTCCTCTGCCTCCATCCCCAGCCTGGTCTTGCCGCAGAGTTTTCCTCTGGCTGCCAGAGCCCTCCTCTCATCCTGCTGCCCACTTTTTCCCCCTTTCCTGACTTGTGGAAACCCAGCTGTGTCTGCTGGTTTTTCCGTCCTCCCCAGGCCAGCATCTGCTCTTAATCCTTTTTAGTTAATCCCTTCCATTTTAATCTGCTAGCTGTTGGCAATGATCACAGCCTTGTTTTGTCTCCTCGACACAGTGACCTACTTCACAACCACCAGCCGGGAGCAGGGACCTTGCCGGGCATTTCGGGTGGAGCGACAGCTTCTCCGTGGCTCCAGGCTGTGACGTGGTTATGCTGATCCTGCAGTCTCTGGCAAGAGCATCCTCACGTTCTCCGTGGCAACCAGGAGCATTCAGGGCTGCAAAAAGTCCTTCCTTTTCCCAGAGGACTGAGGTTTTGAAGGAGCTGAGTTTATTTACTGCACACACAGAGGCTTCTCAGCATGAAGAGCGTTCTCATTCTGTCCCCCCTGAGTTTTTCCTGCTTGGCTGTGCTTGATTTGTTTGTGCTGCTCTCTGGGGCACAGTCTCATCCTCGCTACCCTTATTCCTTGTGCCTGGGCACGAGGCTGCTCTCTAAAGGCGCTGGAGAGCATCCTCCTTCAGATGCTGAAGCAGTGTAGCAAAGAGCCAGAAGGAGGGCAGGATCTTTTCACGTTATGCCCACAGGCTTTGTGAACACTTAGAGCAAGCACAGCTCCGCTTGCAGGAGTCAAGGACCCAGCTAAGCTCGCCGTCAGCTCACCCTGAGCACGCAGTCAGGTAGTGTGCCGCTGGGGACTCGTTTGCAGAGATAACTCAGGGATGCCTCAAGCCTGGGAAGCCTCACAGGGCAAAGCCAGAGTGAATTGCCCCATGTTTGTGGGCTTTTTGCCTTGTTCTAGTGCTTGCAGTACTCTTTCTCTGCATCTTCACCGCTGCGTCCTGGAAGGGGTGAACAGTTACCCCGTTTGTAGAGAAGCCAAAGATTAACCTGTTCACAGTCGTGCTGGGAGCGGGGTGATGTTCAGCTCAGTTTTGATTTCCCTCCCAGAAGCCTGCACAGAAATAGCCCTGCCACCTGCAATATTGCCCTGACCTTCTGGGGTGGTCGGGCCACAGATGCAGCAGCTGGGGATGTTGTGAACTTGCTTTTAGCTTACCTGCAAGCTTTCTGTTTTCAAGGTCTGAGTTAATTTCCCCATCTCTTGCACAAACTGTTTGTTCCTCGGTACAGAAGGACGGTGCGAGCTGACTGAGTCAGCTGAGTCCTTGAGCTTGTGTGTAATCCCCTTGGATGCTCAGAGGTATAGGCAGGTGCCCAAGGACCTTCCCGAATCGCTGCCAGCGTCCTTGGTGTTTTAGACTGGCTTATTAATGTTTCTGTTCAAAACAAATATATTTATCCCTGAGGATCATCCCAGAAGCCAATGTGGAAGAAAAATCTCCTGTGTGAGGTGCTCCCCTGGGAGTGAACGAGACCTCTGGTGTGCCATGAAGAGCTCAGAAGGCCGTTATATGATGGAGAGTTTCCTTCAGAAAGGCAGGAAAATCAGGACTGTCCTGATTGTGGGGAGCACAGGGCCCAGGGAGGTGGCAGAGCAAGGGGACAGTGCTGGAGGGAAATAATCTGTACCCCCAAAATGACACTTACTGTCTTGTGTTTGTCCCTTTCTGCCGTGATTCAGAAATGCACTTTTTCTCCTGTCTTTACAGGCTCTTCATCGAGAAGCTGCCACAGCACCGAGATTACAAAACTGCTGTCATACCTGAAAAGAGGGAGACAATGAAAGTAAGTAGTAACGTTGCCAAGTCCTTGACGGCTGCTGTCGGAAATGTTTTGGGGTCATCAGCCTTGGGTTTTCATAGCTCTTGAGATGAATGATCCACTCAAACGCTGAGAAGCCTTGGCTTGACCAGGCAGTCCTGACACCTTGGGAGTTTGCGCTGGGCTGGCTGTGGTTGTCCAATTTACTTTCAATTTACGAGCGCTGGGGTGTGCGTCCTTTCTTTCCTGTTAAACTCCCTGCTTTTTAAAGACCACGTGGCTTTTCCACGGTGGCTGGATGCTCAATGTGATGATCCTCAAGGGATTTGCCAGGGGATCTTTGGAGATTGCTCACAGCCACAAGAAACTATCTCTCCTCTGCTCAGCATTGACCAGAAGAGCAAAGGGTAACGCTGTCTAAGCTCTTGCTCGGTGTCGTTGGTGGTGCTGTCTGTGCCACCCGGCTGCAATGTGCCTGTCTGTAGCCCGTCCACACGTGGTGGTGGAGCTGCTTGGCCCTTCCTGCCTCTTGAGCAAGTTTATAATCTCTGGGTGCTACATGTCCCTTGATTCTTGCCTTTGTTCAAGTCTTGTTTTTCTTGCCTTGGGGCTATCACATTCTTATGACTGTGTTTCCTCCCTTCAGAAACTGAAAGAAGTAGCCTTCCCCAGAGCTGAAGAGCTCAAGGAGGAGCTATTAAAGAGGTACGCCAAGGACTATGCTAAGTACAAGGAGCAGAAGGTGAGTGAGAGGAGACTGGAGGCCTGTGCTCCCCAGAAGACCCTCGGCCACAAAGGGTTTGGAAGAGGGCAGGTCTCCAGGGCTCTGAAATGTGAAGTCTAGGCAGGTCCAGCCTCATCACCTGCAGCACTGATCATGTCTCTGCTGCCATTACGTAGGTGAATCTGTCATAGGCATCCCTGCATCTCTTTTCATTGTGCATCCTGGAGGCAGTCTGAGCTGGGACTGTTATTTGGTTGGTTTTTCTCTTTGTCCCAACGTGAGGTCTAGAAGCTCAGCAGGCGGCTGGTAACAGCATGGGCATGGATCTGGGGTTCTGTGGGCAAAGCAGAAAACCCTGCAGTCAGTTTTGCTGTGGACAAGTGCGATTTTAGAGATAGGATAGAGGGAAATCAACCTGGAATTATATTTCTGTGGAAGAGGGGAGAATAAGGCAGCAATTTTACTGCCCTGGGCTAGCTGGCTCTCCTGATGGAAGTGCGGATCTCTGTTTTGCAAGCTGAAGCTTCCTTGCAGGGAGTCCTGTTTGCTGGTTACCTACCTAGAAGTAGTCTGGGATCCCTGAGCATCTTGCAGTGGATAGGCTTCATATTCTGCCTCGGGCTAGTGTTCCCCTGTCTGCTGACGTCCCTTGGCGTATTTCTCCTTGCAGAAGGAGAAGGAAGAGGAATTTGCACGCAATTTGGCTTTGCAGCAGCAGCTGGAAGAGGAGAGAAATCGGGTAGCCCTGATGAAGCAGCAGCAGGCAGAGCAAGAACAGTTTCATGCCTTCGAGGAGATGATTCGACGACAGGAACTGGAGAAGGAACGTCTGAGGATAGTGCAGCAATTTGGAAAGCCAGAGCCAAGTCCCGAGTCTCTGGATGGACCCCTCATCCCTGGCGTGGAAAAGCCCCCGACTGATTTAATCCCAAAGGTTCCCGTCTCTCCAGTTCACCCTGCAAGTCCATCAGCGGGGACTGTCTCATCCAAACCTCCTGTTGTGGACAGATCTTTGAAACCTAGTGCTTTGGGGAGCACGGAAAACAGTTAGTACCTCTCGGTGCACCCTCTTCTCTTGCTGGGGCTGAGCCAAACACGGCCAAGGAGCTGATTTGTCTGGGAGGCTCTTGGAAGTATCTGATCATGGCTCCATCCCTTCTGGGTGTTTGGCCTTCCAAGTCACTGGGTGTTCTCCCAGTTGTCCAGTAAAGGTTTGCAGGGCTGGGGAGAACTGTCTCCTCTTGGGAATCGCCCCACATGCACTTTTCCAGCCCAGTCTCTTCGCTGATCTAGAGTCTACAGCCTATTTGGCTTTCCTGGATCCAAATACTTGTGGGAGATTGGGGTCCTGGCTAGGCTGACCAAATTCTCCTGTTCTGCCAAATATGACTCCAAAATACTGATTCGGACACTTCCAAATTCCTGGTCCTTGCCCAGTGACACGTCTTACTTTAAATAACATTTTGTGGGTGTGATTTCATTTTCTTTAACAAAATACTTGGGTTTTGACACACCGCTCCAGGTCTCTCTGTGTCCCTGTTTTGAAAGAGGTAGCAAGTGTCCTTTTTGAAGTGTCACAGTGACTTCATTTATCTGTGATTGCTGTTGTAAGAGTAGATGTTAGAGCAGTTAATGTTTCCAGGCTGAATTTTCTCAGCCTAGTCCCTTCAGATACTGACCTGAGGGAACATTTCTCCAGCATCCCCAACTGTCATTGCTCATTGTGCTCCCCTTCTCCCCACAGATGCAAGTATGGATGTCCTTCGCCAGGTCATCGTCCCTAGGGAGCTTTGCCAGAAATTCCTCCAGCTGGCTGATGCCAACACAGTCCGGGGTGTGGAGACGTGTGGGATCCTCTGCGGTAAGCTGGTAAGGTGGTAATTCTAATTAAGACCCTGGAATTGGCACCAGGGGCCTTTTGTCAAGGTGTGCAATAGCTTTGAAGATGGCTAGAGGACCCTGATTTTTGCCACAGAAGGCTGTAGTGCCGTTTCACTGATGACTAGGGATTCATGTGAGCTTTAGGGATGATCTGCCTCTCCTTTTCCTTCCTTTTACGATAGGATTTCCTCACACTGAACGAGGTGCTGGCCACTGCGTCCCTAGGGGTATTCAGCTTCCTCTCTCCTGTTGAAGACTTTCTGGGTACCTGCTTCAAGCATTCCCACGTTGCCGGTGACTTGTCCTTTTGGCACCAGCAGGAGTGAGGTGTCCCAGCTGTGGACTAGGACTCTCACTAAGACAAGGCTGTGCAAACACAGACTGGACACAGTTCTGCCCCAAAGAGTTTGCCTGCACAGGTGTCTGTTGGCAGCTCCAGCCTGTCTCCCCTGGGTCACTTGGGGCTGCTTTGCTTGCAGAAGTTGGCTTTGAAATGAAGTTGTTTGATGTAGCAACTTTCTGCAATCCAGCTGCTTCCAGGCACTTGGTGATTATTTAATTATGAAGCACCATCTCCTAGCGAGTGGTGAGATTGGCTTCAGTGGGTGTCCAGGACTTCTCTGAGCTCTTGTGGGTGTTCTGCACGGCAGGAAAAATTAAGTAGAAAGCCGTGGGTGATGTTCAGACTCAGAAAATCCTGCAACTTCCTTGTCAGTAACTTGCAGTTACTGTTTCTGTGACTGTAAATGGATGGTAGATGCACCCGTGGGCTTGTTTCCAGGCCTGCTGTTCCCCTGGCTGGGCCCCTGAGTGATGAATGCAGAAGTACCGTGTTCCCAAAGCTTAGGAAATTACCTTTGCACCAGTGGGCGGCAGCAGTGTTTCCTGCTTGGGGGGGGTATCCGGTGGGTAACAGCCTCCCTGTGCTGCCTTGCAGATGAGGAATGAGTTCACGATAACCCACGTCATTGTTCCCAAGCAATACGGAGGCCCAGATTATTGCAACACGGAGAATGAGGAGGAGCTCTTCGTGATCCAGGATCAGCATGGCCTTGTTACACTAGGCTGGATCCATGTGAGTGTCTCGTTCCTGTTTCACTTCCCAGCTGGCCTTGTGTTCAGCCAGGTGGAAAAGGGGTGCATGGAGCGGGGCCGGCAGAGGAGAATTTACTGGAGGAGCTGGCTTGGAGCAGGCAGCATCCCTCCAGATGGATTTCTCCCTCTGGTGCAGTCTCAGTCACTACTGACTCCTATTGGAGAAATCCAGGCCTGTTTCAAGTTTGGGTCCCTTTCTAAAGCATCAAGCCCTTTCGGAGCGGGATATTGGGCATGATGCTGGTGTTTCATCCAGCTAAAAGCTGACTCCAGAGGCACTGTCGGGGCATGCGGTGCTCCTGCTGTCAGCACAGGGCCTCTCTTGCCATGCGTCCCCATAGTAGCGCTGCTTTTCGCAGACAGCTGTGTGCTGCTCTGCTGTGGGATGTGCCAGTTCCAGATTCCTCCGCTGGCTTCAGCGCTGCCCTTGCTGCCTGTCCCCGTGGAGCCTTTGGCAGTCGGATCGGTGCCAAGCAAAATGTTCGGTGCTGCTGAGTAATCTCTCGAAAGCAGCAGCTGCCTCACAGGCTTTGACAAATAAATGCCTGCTGCGTGTGCCTGATATGTGCAGGGTGTCTGCTTTTTGGTGTTAACTCTTCAGTGTCGGCCCTGCAGCATCCAGGGACCCTCAAGAATCCCTTTGACCTTTCTGCTGGTCTTGGCAACAAAAACCTAACAAGCAAAAGGGGAAAAAACCTTTCAGCAAGAGTTGGGCTGTGAAATCTAGCTGTCAGCTGGACTTGGGTAAGGTGGTGGTTGTCTGTGATCATACAGCCCTTGGCCATCTTGGGAGAATGTGATGTCTTGAAGTGTCTTAAAGTGTGACTTTCCCTGGGATATGGCCAGAAATGTAGAGCTCCTCCTGTACTTAGTCCAAATGGAAAAGAGGAGCAGATGTTTTGGGGCAATCCCAAACCATTTTCAATGTACGAGCATGTTCTCTGTGCCATCCGAGGAGCTGTCTCTCTTCTCTTGGCAGACGTGGTCCCTTTGGACTAGTCCTTCGACCCTGCTGTAACTTCCTCCTTTTATGTTGCCTTATGTTTCAGACTCACCCCACGCAGACAGCCTTCCTCTCCAGTGTTGACCTGCACACGCACTGCTCCTACCAGATGATGTTGCCAGAGTCCATTGCTATTGTGTGTTCTCCAAAATACCAGGAGTAAGTATGGATGTGGGGTAGGTAAGGCCTTTCCCTCTGCCTCTGCCGCCCAACCAAAAGGTTGGGTGGGAGGTCTGGCATCTTCAGAGAGTATCGAAGGGCAATTTACCACGACTTTTCCTGTACTGGATTCCTGGTGTGGAATGGAATGTCAAGTCACACAATGAAAGGTTTGGGGTTTTTTTTTGCCAAAAGAGGCTGGAAGAGCATGTGTGATTTGACAGCTCTTCTGAGCTGGTTTGGGGGGGTCATATTTGGGCTGTGGTTGCCCACCCATGAAAGGAAACCGGTCTGCAGCTGCAGAGCTGGGGAGAGAAGTGTCCCAGCCAGAGCAGTGTCCCACAGCACGCATCTCTGCTCTCACTTGATATGAGCAGCCTCAAGCGTGGTTCTTCAGACACACTTTCAGACACAGAAGGATGTGCTTCTATTTCCAGGGGCTTGAGCTACACAGAACTTTTCTTTGTTCTAGGACGGGGTTTTTCAAGCTGACGGAGCATGGCCTGGAGGAGATCTCTTCCTGCCGGCAGAAAGGATTCCACCCGCACTCCAAAGAACCCCCTCTCTTCACTGTAAGTCACCCCACGAGGCAGCGGGGGGTCTAGGACCGTGAGTCGGCATATTGGACACTTCCCTTGAATTTATGTCTGTGTCGAGGTGCTAGGCTGTGACCCAGGACAGGCGGGTCAGCCTGGCAGGGGCTTGTCGCTCCTTAGAGTTAAGATGCAAAAGCTTTCTAACTTAAGGGCTACTAAAATGCTGCGAGGGCTGGAGCCCCTCTGCTCTGAGGCCAGGCTGGGAGAGTTGGGGGTGTTCAGCCTGGAGAAGAGAAGGCTGCGGGCAGAGCTGAGTGCGGCCGGTCAGGGCTTCAAGGGGGCCCAGAGGAAAGGGGGGGACAAGCTTTTTAGTAGGGCCAGCTGGGACAGGACAAGGGGGGATGGCTTTAAACTGCAGCAGGGGAGGTTTAGACTGGATCTAAGGAAGAAATTCTTTCCAGTGAGGGTGGTGAAAGCCTGGCAGGGGTTGCCCCGAGAGGGGGTGGAGGCCCCATCCCTGGGACCATTCCAGGCCAGGTTGGCCGGGGCTGTGAGCAACCTGATGTGGTTCAAGGTGTCCCTGCTCCTGCAGGGGGGTTGGGCTGGGTGACCTCTGGGGGTCCCTTCCCACCCAAAGCATTCTGTGATTCTATGATTTTTAGCGTGAGTTGGAGGTGCGATGCGGAGCACTTCTCTGCAGAAACAGGCCAAGGCAGTGGCAAAGGCTTGTACTGGAGGGAGATTTGTATCTGTGTCCTGCTGTGGTCTCTGTGTGGCACCGGGCAGGGCGGTTCCTGGGCAGAGAGGGCTGTTCTGCAAAGGATGCTGGGTGCAGGTTGTGTGAGGAGGTAGAGGAGACTCACCTGAGTTTTGGGAACTCTGAATAACCCCCTGTCCCCTCTTTCTCTTCCCCTCTCTTCCAGACCTGCAATCACGTGTCAGTCGTCGAGAGAGACGTGGTCCTGATGGATCTCCGATAGGCCTCTTGCCTTAACAGTTTACAGAAAACCATCTACCTTCCTCCTAGGCCTAAGGAATTTTTTTCTTCCTTGTGTAGCAGATGATTTCTACCGTGTAGTGATCCTCTCCCTTCCTCCCCCAATAATCGCGGTGAAATCGGTACCCTGCCCTCGGTGGGAGCACGTGAAACCTCAGTGCCTGGTGTTGGGCTAGCAAAGTGGTGCTGAGGTTCAAGGTGTGGGGAAAAGCTAACTGGAAATTCAAAGACAGAAGCTAACACTGAAGCAATTGTTTAATACTCTAATCTATGGCTTGAACAGCTTCTTGAGAGGGGGGCTCCCTGTGATTTGCTGCAACCATGAGGTGTGTTAACCTCTTCAAGTGCTTTCCAAAGAGGGACTTGCCCAAATTAACCCATGCTTTGTTTTGCCTCTCTGGGTTGTTGTGGTCTTGGCGCAGCTGGCTGGAGTAGGTGAGCCTTTGCTATAGTTTAAGATTAAACCTTCCTAACCCCTCTCACCCCATGGGAGACCTTATAGTCGCAGAGTCGGCGCGAGTCCTGCTTGCTGGTACTCGGGTCATTGCCTGGCAAGGTAAAAAGGGGCCCAGCCTCCTTTGGGAACCCCTATTTCAGTGCTCCAGGGGAGAAGGTGCCTGGATGCGGCACTGCTTTGCACAAGCTGCTTCATTCCAGCCGCAGGAAGGGGTGTCTGCTTACTTTTATTCCTTTTCCTGGATGGGGGGGATTCGCTCTGGACCTTGGGCTGCCCGGCAAGGGCTCGCGTTTGCCTTGTTGCTGGTGTTACTGGGGAGGAGGCGCTCGGTCTCTTGGCTGCGGTGCTGTCGTGCGAAGGCTCTGCAAGGCCATCGCCTCTCTGAGACGGGGCTCCAGCAGCTCGTGCCTCTTCGATCCTCAAAGCTCACCGCCCCCGATTGTCTCTGCCTTTCTCAAAGCAGTATGAAGTCTGTCCTTGCCAAAAACAAGCACTCTGACGTCGCTGTTTTGTGGTACACCAGCCGGGGACCTCCTCCGAATTATTCTTGTCGGACGCCAAGCAAGTGGTTTTCCTTCCCTGCGCTATCCATGCCGAGCCTCCGCCTTCGCGCGTCTGCCGGCGCTGAAAGGGAAGAAGCAGTACTGAAAGGTGGAAGGCAGCTGGCCTCAAAGGGCTGAGCGTGATCCACGACATCTCCACATCCTCTGGCAGGATGCTGTGACGATCAGCACATGGCCCTGCGGGGAGGGGAAGAAGGCTGGAGTTGCCTTCCCACCTGGCATGCACACATACGTGTTCTGTATGTCGTGTCCTTGTACTTCTACATCCAAAATTCCTTGGTGTACAGTTTAACACAGATGGATTCTATTATCTTGGCTGGGTTTCTTTTGCCACTTGTTTTCTTTGAGCTAACTCAGTGGGTTGGAGGGGTCCAGCGTGGCTGAGAGGGGGGAGGGAATCGATTTATTTGGGGGTTCTGCTTATTTGCAACAGCTACCCCCTCGAGTCCTGCGTGACAAACTGCTGCTGCCATCATTTTTGCAGTCAATTTTGGAAACAGGCTACCCCTGGCAGTGGGAGGGAGTCATAGAATCATAGAATGTTTAGGGTTGGAAGGGACCACTAGTGGTCATCTAGTCCAACCCCCCTGCAGTGAGCAGGGACACTGCTAACTAGATCAGGTTGCTCAGAGCCCCATCCAACCTGGCCTTGAATGTTCCCAGGGATGGGGCCTCCTCCACCTCTCTGGGCAACCTGTTCCAGTGTTTTACCACCCTCATTGTAAGAAATTTCTTCCTTACCTCTAGCCTGAACCTACCCGGTTCTAGTTTAAAACCCTTTCCCCATATACTGAC